AGTCAGACAGAAGGGGAGTGAAAACAGGTGGGATTTTATTCTAACTGCAGTGGGAAACCATTGGGGGTTGTAGAGAGAGGTAAAGATGATTGCATTTACAAGTTCATTACTCATGCACCCATTTGTTTTCTATTGGGTCTCTCATTATATATACTGATTTTTTCTTCTTTCTATTCTTTAGATGTATCAACTATTATTATTTGAGTCTCTTTCTTTCTTTAATTTATTTTTATTGTTGACACTATTACAGATGTCTCCCATTCCCTCCTTCTTTGCCCCCCTCCACCCAGCCCCAGTCTCCCCCTACTCTGGCCCTCACCACACTGACTGTGTGTCCCTGGGCGATGCATATACGTTCTTTGGCTAATCCCTTCACCTTCTTTCATCCAGTCTGCCTCACCCACCTCTCCTCTGACATCTTTTAGTCTATTCCGTGTATCCATCCTCTGGTTCTGTTTTGTTCATCAGTTTATTTTGTTCATTAGATTCACATATAAGTGAGGTCATATGGTATTTGTCTTTCTCTGACTGGTTTATACATTATTTATTTTATATATTACATTAAACACTATTGATTTCTTAATATCTAACAGTACTTAGTGGTTCTTACCATGTCCCAGAAAATATAAATAATTTAGAACACTTTCCTATTTGCTTCCTCTTGACTTTTGTGTTTTCATATACTTCTAATCCTAGAAGTGATGATTTTCATTGCTTAATACAAGAAATCTTTTTATTTCCTCGCACCTTTTCCTTTTTCATTACCCCTTATACCTCCCTGCCTCTCTCTTCCTCCATCCGGGGATCCTTTTTGGTGCCGGAAAAACTCCTTGCTTGCATTTCTTTGAATGTAGATCTGTTGTAACAAATTCTCTGCTTTTTTTTTTAAAACACCATCTTCTTTATTGTACCTTTAATTTTGAAAGTGTTTCTTTTGCATGTATAGAACTCTGGGTTTATTGTTTGTTTGTTTTGGAACTTTGAAATATTATTTCATTGTCTTCTGACTTATGTAGTTTCTGTTATGAGGACACTTGCCAATTTTACTTTTGTTACTTTAAAGATAATTTGTCTTTTTTTTTCCCTTCTGGCTTTTTCCCCCTTTGTTGTTTGTTTGTTTTGGTCTGGTCATTGGCTTCCCACAGTTTTTACTATCATTTGGCAAGCTATGCTTTTCTTCTTGTCATTTGCATTGTTTCTGAAATCAGTAGCTTGAATTACATTTGGAAAATTCTTGAATATTACTTTCAAATTTTGCTTCTGCCTTGATTTTTCTTTTCTTCTTTTCTAACACTCTACTTGTACCTATGCTAGACTGTTTTGAGTTTCATATTTCTCTCATGCTGTTTTTCTGTATTGTCCATCTCCCTTTTCTTTTTGTTTCAGTCTAGATATTTTTAATTTAATGCTAGGAATTGTGTATAAAAGTTAGAAAAGCTTGGGATGATAATTTTTCTCCAGAGAAGGTTTCATTGGCTTATGGCAGACAAGTAAAATAGTGGTACATCAGTTAAATCTAATAAGGAATTCAGTTCTTTTGAGCCTGGGTTTCAGTCTCTGTAAAGCCTGGTCTCTATTTCTGGTTTGCCTTTACTTGTAAAGTACAGCTTTTTGGGGGCCACAAATGAAAGCCTGGGAGATTTTCTATTGCCTCACAATCATAAAGGACACGTCATTATTTTTTCTCCCTCACATGTAATCTGATGAGAGCTATGCTTAGTTTTTCCAGTCTCCTAGCAGCCACCTTATACTTAGCTTGTCTGCCTCTCAAACCTAGCTGCTTATGGAGTGTTCAATGGCCTGTAGTGAACCTGGTCCAGATCTTTCTTTTCTGTAGTTCTTTTCTCTAGATAATCTTTTCCTCTCAAATTCTGATGTTTTAGTAGTCCTAAACTCCAATCCCCACCCCCAGCCATATAACACTTTAATACTGTTTTATTCTACTGCTCTGCAATTTAGTAGTCATGCTATGCTAGTTTCTCATCATCTCCATGAATTTAAAAATTGGCCTCAGTGGAAAAGTACCAAAAACACTACAATCATTTTGGTGAGCTTCTCTTTTCACCAATGTCTCGGTCTCTCAAATTCTGATTGCCTGGGTGGCTTTCCTATGCCATCAATGAGATTTTTTGCATTGACCAAGCTTTTTTAGGTTTGTTTTTACCTCTTCCTTCCTTTCCTCCCTCCCTTCCTCCTTCCCTTCCTTCCTTCCTTCCTTCCTCCCTCCCTTCTTTCCT